AAAGCCCGCAACAGTAGTGAAGAGGTTCTGTGTCGCTTGTGAGGAGGCCGTTCTTCTGCGACACTCGATTTTTTTTCTTTGTGGACGGCTTCAACTCATCAGTGCACTGTATCATCATAGCCGTTCATCGGCTCCTACAGGATAGCGCATAGTAGGCTTACTGGATGACTTGCGGAGCGGAACTTTTTCTTCACAATGGATGCCCTTTAATGTAGACAGACAAAGCAGATTTTCATAATATGGCCCCTGTTTGATCGGTTGTGCACAGCATGGCAAGCAAGCTGCTGGAATTGAAAGCGGTTTTTGTGAGACCAATGGTTCACGCTGGGATTTGCGGCGTTCATTCCTACAGTATGCTTAGAGACACACCTCTTGTTAGTCGGCGGGTAGAAACTACAGTAGTTCACTGCCGACGGTGGGGCGTGTCAGGCAGTATGAGTGTGCCACGGTGAAAAACCCGTTCTCTGCCAGTTGTTGAAGCAGTTACGCGACAACAGTTGTTGGGAAACGAGTGATACGAACGACATGATACAGTCTTGTCACTCAAATGATACAGTCGCTTTAACAGCTGGTGGAGAACAGGTCTGGCACCGTGCCAATCTTCATCCTCCTGACACGCCTCACCGTCCGCAGCGAACTACCCTACATTCACGGCTGCATTCTTAGAGGCTGTTTTTCTTTAGCGGCCCCACCATGAAGACGTTCTGATAGCTGTGCACGCCATCGTTGTGAAGTCACTACGGGGGAGGGTCATTTTCGATGCTATGGGGATAATCTTGAGCGAAGGGCTCATTCGGGCGAGCTATATTTAGGTGAACTGTGCTTCTATTGCACTCATTTAATAATGCCTTTTAACTCGAACTTCAAACACTCCGACCTTCAATTACTTTCCCAGCAACCTAATACTTGGCCAACCAACTCAAAGGTGGAGACGTGTAGAGGAGTGGCAGGAAAACAAAGAATTTAGGGCCGCGAATCTGCGCTGTCCCAGGACACCTGGCTACAGACTCGTCAAAGTAAGTCAGGACGGCCACAGAAGAACATGTCAGGGGACTGAAAAGAAAAGAACAATACGGAAATGGACGCCCTGTACGAGAAACTGGAGGGCTGAGAGTTGTACAGACCCGATATAGCGCTATTCAAGTTATCAGGGTAGTAAAGACTGTAAAAGTTGCAGCGGTGCCCTTCTCAGGAAACCATTCGAAGTCAGAAAGAAATGGGAAGAGTACTTGAGGGACTCCTGGACGAGGGATTCCCCCGCAAGGACTGCCTACAGAGGGAGGCGATGGCAGATCGTATCACCCCGTGGATAGAGGAAGAGGTGCGCCGAGAATTAGGAAGAATCAATGATGGGAAAGCACTGCGTCCAAATGGGGTAAGTTTGCTCACTCACAACATAACAGTCGAAGGTGGGGTGCGTGGAGGAGTAACAGAATCGTCCTATCTTAAACCGAAACCTTGACGCGACGGAGTGCTTCAGCTACCGCGGCAACAAGCTGACTCCGCACACCATGAAGCTGTACGAGCGCCTGGTCAACACAAGGCTAAGAGAACTTGTCCCTATCTCGCAGGAACAGTTCGGCTTCATGCCCGAAAGGTCCACCACTGATGCCATCTTCATCGCCAGACAGCTGATGGAGAAGTACCGAGAGAAGCGGCGACCCTGCTACCTAGCCTTCCTTGGACCTTGAGAAGGCATTCGACCACATACTTCGTTCTGTGGTCTGGAGTGCGCTCCGACAAAAACGTCACGGAACCTAATCCCTTTAGTGAAGGACACGTACGATGGGACACGCGATTGCGATATTACAAACTCAAGAAGACGTTTCTTGTGTGCATCGATGTGTTTCCTGATCGGGTACAGCGTCACGTATGTAGCTTTTGTTGAGGT